TCTTGATTTTCTAACAAGGTTCCATCTTCATCGTGGATTCTTTACAGTTGTAATTTCTTCCTCTTTCCATTGACATGATTGTGAAGAAACAAGTATTCATATCACCTTCAGTAAACCATGTCATTCCTATTTTCTGCTTCCAGTATTGCTCCTCTATACTGAGGTACTTCTTCATTTCTGAAGGACAATTCTACTCTCAATTGTAGGCTCTTCTTCAAACAACTTCTCCTTAATTTTGACAATATCCTCCAGTATTGCTATTTGTTTAAAAATGTCTCCAAAAGTATCTCTTATCCACCTAGATAGTGCAGCCTTGACCTTCTTCAGTTTGTGCTTGAACATGAGGAAAGGATCTCCAATGAAATCCGCATTACAGTTCTATCTCACTACATCCATGAATGTAGCATGTTTTGTCCAGAAATTCAGGAATCTGAACGGCTTGGCAAAAGTAGTAGTGTTCTCCCCGCATGTCATCAGAAGTGGTGCATGATCGGATCCAGTTCTAATCAAGTGTTCCACTTCAATTGATGGTAGAATATTTTGAAACGGTAAATTCACAAAGATCCTGTCCAATCTTTCAAATATACACTCATTATTAGGTCTCCAATTCCACCAAGTGTATGGGCTTCCCATGTAGTCTTGATCAAATAGTCTACATGAGTTAATGAATGCTGTGGAATCCTTAAAACATACGAATATTATATGATTCATGCACCTTAAAACACGAACTCTTTAGCATATTAAGCACACCTAATTTTACCCCAAAAGTACATGTTATAACATCTTTGATTCGTTTAACCTCCGATCATCATGATACTTCTGTAACACCTATGTTAACTCAACATCATATTTGTAAAGGTCCTTAAACTCTATGACGTATATTGATTCACTTAAGATGCATTCCAACATGAAAGTACAAGGTGTAACATCCTTCCACCTTTTGAACATTCGTCCTCTAATGCTAAATCTTAGAGTCTTGCAAAAATTCCGCCAGAGTCTCCTCTGTACACTGGACTAAAACCAACTTGCACGCAACCAGAAAACATACATACAAGTCACACAAGGCCAATATATATAAATAGCAACACTTTGCCTCACACGACCGTCAATCATAAATACTCCAAGTTAAAAATAAGAACTCACCACACGACCTGCTGATTTGAACCAGGAAATGCTATAATATCCCATCTCGAGTCATATCTTAAGTTTGCAATAGGTGGGATATTTAGATTTCATCTCCCTTGTGGCCTCCCACGTCATTTCTTTAACGTTCTTATTTTTCCATAACGGAGGCTAAATTTTTGGCCCTCAGTCTAAATATCTGTCGATCTAACATAACCATTGGAATCTCCTGGTTTGATAGATCCTCTGTAATGTAAACATCACATACTGCGACAACCCGAGAAGGGTCTCCAATGCACTTCTGTAGCATGGAAAATGGGCTGATTCTAACTGTGGAGGCAATTCAATCTCATACACCACTCTGCCTATCCATCGAGTGACTTTGTAAGGCACCATATATCTCAGACTAAGCTTGACTTTCTTACCTGATCTCATGACGCCGTTCATAGGAAACATATTTAGGAATATCCAGTCGTCTCGGACTTTCCATACATTCGTACTTTAAGAATTCTTATTCTGCGACCTTGGACATCATATACTTTGTTTTCTGATGCTCTTAGTATCAAATATAATCCTCACCTTGGCTCTCATAATACTTTCTTTACTTTTCTTAAGCTTAGTTATCAGCTTGGTACTTATAACATTAATATTCAGCCCTTATGTCACACTTTGTACAGATATATGCCAATTTTAATTCTTCTCATGAGGAGTGGGTGATTTAGGATAGGCTTCAACTTCTCAACCTCGTATTTTCATCTCGTGACATATCCCGGTCTCAAAAAAAATTATACTTGACTTGTCATATTAGCTCACTCACATTCATGATCATTTAAATTGTCGTACTCATATAAAAGCTAGCACATTTTTATTTTTAGCACAACTTGTCCTAATGGACACTTTTGAACTGAACGGTCCATCTGGAGAGTCGTTCGTCAACGTTATACTTTACAGTCCAGGATCATCTTTGAAGTACCTACCACATGATGTCGCTCGTCTCAGATCATGTCTTTTTATTTCTGTAGTATTCTGGATTACTATGCTGCTTTTGTCTGTGTTCCTTACTCGAGTGGTAAAATTGATGCTCCCTAGCCCTGGTAATGTCTCAGAGTCTGGCAACAATTGGGGCACATATTTATCCTGTCATCTTGACTACATCTTTTGTTATCTCTATGGCTGGTACTCTTCTAGATGGCTTTATTGTGGACCAGTTATAGAATATGGAAGATGTACTACTTCCCTTGTACTTCTTCTATTAAGAGTGATTTTGCAATGTTTTGAGTCACGATTTCTATAAGCATCTGGGTTTAGTAATCAGACTCCCCATTTATTTAGTAGTTGTAAATCTCGAGATTCCACTTCTCTCTCAGCCTTTAGGTAGACTTATGTTGTCTTCCAATATGCGAATCAGGGCATTATTTATTACATTAACCGTTCATAGACGCTGTGGAACATCCGTATTATAATCTTCTAACTATTAAAGTCTTTGTATGTGACATGGACTCAATTATTTTGTTTAACGATAGACGAAAGTCTCCTATATCTTTAAGAATGTCAACATATATGATGCATGAATAGAACTCTGAAATTTTAAGTGCGTTAATAACGTAACTAACTCTAGGTCATATATCGAATAATTCCTTTCTTCCCTACTCAATTGTCTTTAAATGTAAGCTATTACTTTTTTTGGTCGTTCTGCCACTTATTACATGAATACATGGCTTATCTTAGTAGCTATGCATATTGGAATTTCATGCAACTTATATGATATTGGATATTAATTTTGAATTTACTTCCCGTTCATTACTCATGATACGTGCCACTTTATTATGGAGTACATACAATGTTCTAATGAGACAATTGTTACAAAATCATTTATTCTTCAGGTGACTATGCTTAGGTCGAAGCTTTCTTCCTTAGTTCCTCAACTAGTCATTTATTGTTGTACTTAGGGGAGACACTCTGAGAATTTTCGATGTTCTTACTCGCTTATAATTATCCTTAGTTACTTACCTTCATGCCCTTGTTCTCGTTGCTTTTTTAGCAAATCCACTAGGCAAGGTGCATGGGGCTAGTTTTTATATATATAAAACTCAAAATAAAACAAAGTGTTAGGAGGTCCTACAAGATGAAGAAATATACTTTGACGAATACATAATTCCTATTATCAATGTTGGGCAATGTGCTCAACACTGATATCACAAAAAATAGGCTCATAAAGCAGTGAAACTATTTTATAAAAACTAGCCATGCTAAATCTTCACAATTGAAGCCAATATGTAGCCTTCTTTTGTTGCAATTTTGACTATCTTCCTTTTGTTGTATCAACTATGAACTTAATGAAACCAGTAATGAATCTTTCAAATTGATTTCCAAACCTGCATCTGCATCTTCCTTAAGTGTGTAACTCCTACAATCATCCACATAATCTGTAGCAACTTCTATTGCAAAGCCTACTGTCTTGGAACGCCCTTGTCTTTCCAGAAAAATATCGTGACTATCCTTACCTCTGCCAATCCTATCCCTTAGTATTATTTAATTTTCATGATGCCTAGTATCCAGTAACGCAACTACATTCTCACAGTTTCTTGGACAGCTATACTTGCTTCTCAATGAGACTAAGTTGCAGCATTTTCGAGCATGTGTGAGCATACACTGTTTGAGCAGGTAGTCGTGTGATCTCCATCAGCCATCTGTTGATGTCAATGGTTGGCACCATTCTTGGGATGTAGAGGTACGGATATTAATTAGGGTGATGTTCCACGATGCATCCAGTGCTCCCAATTTTGAGTTCCAAAAGCCCAAGTCATGTAGTAAATCGATCAAGCTCCCAATTCTAACTCTGATTAAGGATTGCATAGTCGTGAAAACCTGATAGATGACTCTACTTATAGATACTGCATCTCCATATTTGTAGTTGTTTCTTCTTTTCCATAACTCCCACATAATAACAACTGGTAAAGCTTGCAGAATAGGCTGAAATCTAGGAATCACATCAGCAGTCCAACACTTAGTCACAGCCTGATGAAATGTAATCCCATCTAATGCAGTACCTGCATGCCCAAGAAAATATTTCCACACTCTATTAGCAGCATATTATGTAAAGAAGATATGCTTCCTTGTCTTCTCATTTGGTTCAGCACAACACTAGCATTTAGAAGCCATTAGGTATCCCACTCTCCTGAAACAATCATCCAAAGGCGACATATTTCTCTATACTTTCTACATGAACAAAGCAATCTTGAAAGGCAGACCTTTCACCCATATTTTATTATAAGCATTGGAAGGTTCATTTCTTCTTCTCAAGTATTCCCATGATGACTTTACACTGAACTCTCCTATTTTTTCCAGGATCGATTGAGGCTTGTCTAGAGCATCATGCACCACTGGAGGCTTCATATGCAGAATAATATGCTTTGCAAATTCTTCTGGTTGTATCTCTAGAATTTTATCTGCATTCCAAGCACTATCATCCATCACAACATACACATTATGGACTATTTCATCTACTCCAAACTCTGGAGGAACAAGGAAATATAAAGCCCCCAGTCCCATACAGTTATCAAACCAAAAACGAGAGGATCCCATCTTTGGATACCAAGTAATTTGGTGCTCAATAAAATCCTTGCACTCCAACATCTTCTTTCAAATCTGAGACCCCGCCCTCCAATGTACTATCAATGCATTTAGTTTTTGCAATATTTCTGACTCATAAAGGCACTCCAAAGGCTTGGCTTAATTCGAAAATTCCACCACAATTTACAAAATAGAGCCTTTGAAACATCATGCAAAGATCTAAAACCAATGCCCCCCTAATCACATGGCATGCACAAATTATTCCAAGAAGCACAATATCTACTACTGCCACCTATAGAACTGCTCTAGAAGAATTGAGCAAAAATCTTGTGCAATTTGCTGATGACATTATTTGGAGGATTAACTACTGATAGTAAATCAATGGGCATGCTTTGAAGCACATGATAGATCAACACTGCTCGACCACCTATGGATAACAATTTACCCTTCCATGCTTGCAGTTTATCCATTACTTTATTGATCAATCCTTGATAGTATTTCATCTTCCTCCTAGCGTAAAAAATAGGACATCCTAAATACGTAAATGGAAATTTCTGTCTACCAATTCCAGTGATCCTTTCCACCTTTGTAATTATCTCCATGCTAGTAGAATGATGCATATAAATGGCTGATTTACTCTTATTCACCAACTGTCCGGATGCAGCTTCATATGCTCTCAAGACCTCCATCACCAATTGTAATGAAATAGTGCATGGGGAGGAGAAGATAATGGTATCATCTGCATATGATAAGTGATTGATTTTAGGACTCCACTTAAGTAATCCAAATCTATAAACATATGGATTCAAATGCAAAGCTTTTAAGCCCATGGACAACGCTTCAGCAGCCAAAATAAATTAAGTCGGTGAAACTGGATCCCCTTGCTTGACAGCTCTAATTGATTTGAAAAAACCATAAGATTGTCCATTTATGAGAACTGAATTCCAATTGTTTGAGACAATTTCAAACACAAGCCCTATGAATCTCTCGCTAAACCCCATCTTCCTTAATACCTTTGTCAAAAATAACCAAGAAACTCTATCATACGCTTTGGTCATATCAAGCTTAATAACTACATTAGGTCCAGCCTTAGTTCTTACCCTAATGTCCGTTATAATTTCTTGAGCTAGAAGCATATTTTCAACAATGTTCCTCCCCTTCACAAATCCAGCTTACTAGTCAGATATTATGTTAGGGTGAAATCCTACTAACCTCTCATGTATCACCCTTGAGATGATTTTGTTTGTGAAGTTGCTAAGGCTTATGGGCCTCATGTTTGAGAATGTTTTCACATCTTTCTTCTTTGGCAATAAAACCATATTTGTGTGTATAACACATTTGGGCAATTCTTGGCCATTGAAATAAGCTCGAACCATATCAAAAATGCCATCCCCAATGATATCTCAGCAAGCATGACAAAAACTGCCTGTGAATCAATCTGGACCTCCTGCACTTTCTCCGTTGAGACCATAAACAGCTATCTTGACCTCCTCTTTAGTAGGTTGTTTGATCAACTCTTCATTTTGGTCCATCTTTATTAATCTCGGTACATGATCAATTATGCCAAATGCTGAAGGGACACTTGTTTCTGTGAACCGATACTTGAAAAATTGAATTGCCTCCTCAGCCATTTCATCCTCTTCTTCTATCCAATTTCCAGGACTATTTTGGATCCTTTTGAGCTGGAGTCTTTTCCTTCGAACATTAACCTGTTATGAAAGAACTTAGTGTTTCTATCCCCATATTTGAACCATTACATTTCTGACTTCTGTTTCCAGAATTCTTCTACAATAGCAAGATATTTGATCATTTCTGCCTGCACATTTTGTAGTCTTTCTCTATTCTATTGTGTAGGAAATGCCTCAAATTGAGTTTCATGAACCATCACCACTTCCTCCAAACTAGCTATCTTCTGAAATATATCACCATATGTTGCCCTACTCCAAACTGTCAATGCCTTCTTCAACTTCTTCAATTTGTGGTTAAACATGATAAACGGATTGGCACTAAAGTTAACATGCCAATTCTCCCTCACTACGTCTTTAAATGTATCATTCTTGATCCAGAAATTGAGAAATCGAAAAGCCTTTTTCATTGGAGCAGTTTCAATATCACACTTCAAAAGCATAGGGCAGTGATCTGATCATACCTTTGATAGATGTGTGACTTCCAATCCAGGAAAGGTTTGTTGAAATTTCATATTAGCTAAACATCGATCAAGCCTTTTAAAAATGCATTCCTCATCTGCTCTTCCATTTCACCATGTGAGGATGCTACCTTTGAAGCCCAAATCAGTGAGATTGCAAGTGTTTATGCAATGTCTGAAGTCATCAACCTCATTCAAGGATACGGGCAATCCTCCAAATTTTTCTTCTTCATCCCATTTATGTTAAAATCTCCCCCAACTAGCCATGGAATAGTCATATCTCTTTCCATTGCATATAGTGAATCCCACAATTCAATCCTCTCAATAGCATCACATTTTGCATAGACCAAAGTAAGAATGAGTTCCACGTGAGTTTCAGTGTGGAATAACCTCAGTGTCAACTGCTGCACCATGTCGTATAAGATAGAAACTTCAAATACCTCATAAATAAATGCCCATATATTGTTTAATACATTTACAATCGCATGTGCAAAGCCTACTTTCCTTCTATACCTCTCCAATTTTCTAGCTTGTTGCATAGGTACCATGAGTCCAATGAACTCAAAGGGATGTTGTCTATTCATTGTGATAAGCCTCTCAAAGGCTTGTTTAGTCTTCACTGACCTAACATTCCAAATAATTGCATTCATTACAAATTATTTGATTTGGTTAGGGTTCTTCTTGTTTGGACCCCAATTGATGGAAAAATGGAGTTATCTTTTGCTGGTTTCTTCCTTCCTTTAGCTGCTGATTTAACCTTCTCCATTTGGCTTGGAGAAAGGTCACCTTGCCTGGCCACATTATGAAACATTTGGGCAATTATCTCTTCATCAAAGTCCTTGCCTGTTTTTTCATTGTGTTCCTCTACCCCTTGATCATCTACGCCTACCGCTGCCAGTATATTAGACTTCTGATGTTTAGGAATCATAGCTTGATCCCCAGTTTTATTATGATGCTTCCCCTAACTGATTTCCACTGAAACAGTACTTTTAATCTTAGCAGCTGATTGAACCTTAATCAAATGTTTATTCCCAAAAACTGCATTCTCCCTATTCTCATTATTAGCAGGATCACCCATGTTGACACCAACATCTTTAGAATTTACAGTAGACACATTAGGATTACCTGCAACCACTTGAATTCCCTTGCTATTAGCAGTTGTATTTTGTGTACCATCAGCATTGTTCACATTCTCCTCCTCATTGTTATTGGTAATTAACGCATCTCCATTTACACTTTGTTCCTCTTCCTCTACTTTGATATCAGAATCTATTTCAGCTTGCATTCCATCTGGAATTTCCCCTTCCTCTGAATCTTCTTCCTTTTGATCAGCCCACAGCCTTCCTCCAGACCATTGAATCTTCTTATTGACCTCAAACATATCATTCCTTGCCTCTGCATCAGAATTATTCATCTCGTCTAGATTTTTGGCCAACTCTCCTTCCACACGAGTATCTTGGGTTGGAATATCTTGACATGAAGTATTATTAGCTACCACATTACCTTTAAAGTTTCTTTTTACCCAATGAGCTGTTGATTCCATATTTCTAACTTCATCATTCTTTGTCCTATTAGGACTAGAAGTTACACCATCTATCGCTGCATCAATCCCAGCCGGTGATGGATTAAAAGTAGGTGCTGCTGGATTCAATCTTTTACCATTTCTAGTTGGAATATTTCTAGGCTTACGATTAACATTACTTTGATTCCCATCCTTAGCAGGAGAAGGTTTATCCACCTGATTTACTTCCTGAACTTCCTCAATGACAGCTAACTCATTATTCTGCACCTCCCTTGCTTCAACACTAAACTGCAGATTTGTTACAAGTTTGAAACTGTTTATCACAAGAATTAACCACTAGAACCAACTCCTTTCCAGTCCTTGCTTGATTGTCTTGCTTAGTCCCAGCTTTACCTCCATTGTCCCTTACTTCCTTCCATTGTGAACCTACATTACCAATAACGTTTTCACTAGACAAAATCATCAATGGTAAATAATCTTTCCCTTTTTCCTTACTGCCTTCAGAAAACACATTCTTAGAATCTTGATTCTCAGCAGATTTGTTTGCCATTAGTTCTGGATGCATCCTCCAATACTCGATCATCTCATGACCTTAAAGTTTACATTCCTTACAGTATTTGGGCAGGTAATCATACCTAATAAACACCCATTCAGTCCTTGCTTCCCCAGTTGCTTTATTCTCAATATCCATACGTACCTTCTTAGGTAAATCTGCTAGAAGATCAACAAGAACTTTCACTCGCTCATAACTAGGTCTTATTTTATTGATAATAGCCATGTCAAGATGCAATGGCTTTCCAATTGCTGAAGCTAGAGAAAATAGGCACTCCTTGACAAATAACGTAGGTAACATATTTGGGAATGAAATCCATGCCATTACTTTTGGTGTTTCTTCTCCTGCCTTGAATTTTGCATCATAAATTAGCGTCCTTAGCTGATATTCATATCTAGCTTTGTCTTTGACGTTATACACACTTTTGGATGAAAAATCTATATAGTTGTGCCATAGAGTCAATCAAATCAAAACATGCCTGTCCATAAAAAAATCCCACGTTACATTCGCCTTTAATCCAACATTTCGATGGTATAATTCGACGTAACTTCTGGAGCTCAGGCCATCCATATGAGAACTTACATATAACAGTGTATTGTAAGCCTTCAAGCACATTCATATGGCCAATCTTTGCCTGTCCTTGTAACAGTGTTGCACGTCAAAGAGGTATGGGTGCAACAATAGCTTGTGCAAATGCGTTAACTTGCATGGGGCCATTCAACGTGCTAGGTTTTAATATTTTGGATTAATCTAAGGGTGTATTTACTGGTGGATTGTTGTCAAAGGCTGGGCATTGGTAGGGGGAGGCAAACCAACCCCCACATGAGGTTGGTCGCCGGCCTGGGACTCTCTCAGATAATTTTATTGCAATCTGTCCCACTTGTCTCTCCATGTTTCGAAAACCAGTTCCCAATTCTTTGATAGCTTCCCCGTGAGCGTCCAACCTCTAATCTGTCTTGATAATGAAGGCCTTCATTAGATCTTCTAGACCAAGCTAATTGGATTGTTTAGGCTGAAACTGCTGCCTCTGCTGATTTTGGAAGACTGGATCTCCTTGTCCCTGAGGTCTAGAGTTATTTTGTTGCCACGTATTTGCAGTACCTCCAGGTGAACTCCATGAAAAACCTGGGTGCCTCTGACCCATTGCATTATAATTTCCCACAGCATTCACTTCCTCAGTTGAGGCTTGACACTCATGAGTAGGATTTCCTCTTCCACATATATCACAAGTTGCATGAGGCTCACTTTGCATTGTAGCTAAGGTCAGCTTCCGTATTTCTTTAGCCATAACATCAAGCTGTACCTGCACAGATGTGTTAGCATCAACCTGGTGAACACCTGTCGATCTTCTTCTTTCAGCACTCTCAGAAGGCAACTAATTTGCATCTTCAGACAACTCATCAAGAATTATGACTATCTCTTCCGGAGACTTCTTCATCAAAGGGCCTCCAACTGCATTGCTCAATGT